GCAGCCGCGCGGCAAGGACATTGTCATCCCCGGCTTCCGGAACGTCACCCGCATCAACCCGTCTCTTCTCGCGCGCGTCGACCGCGAGGCGGCCGCGGGGTCGGCGAGGCCCACGTTTTTGTACTTTCGCGGCTCAATGGCGAGCGACCGTCCGGGCGAGGAGAATTACGGGGAGGGCGTTAGGCAGAAGCTCGAGGCAGCACTCTCGAGCTTTCAAATACCGAGTCACCTCCGCCGCGCTCGCTCGCTTGCGTCCGCCCCAGGGATAGACCAGGAGCACATCGTCTTCTCGTCCCAGGCGGTGACGCTGCCTCAATACCTCGACGAGATGTCGCGGTCCGACTTTTGTATCGTGCCGTTGGGATCCTCATCGTGGACGCTGCGCCTCTACGACGCAATTTTCACCGGCTGTGTCCCCGTCATCCTCTCGGACCACATCGCGCTGCCGTTTGACGAGCGCATCGACTGGTCGGAGCTAGCCATCAAGTGGCGTCAGGCTGATGCGGAGAGGCTGCCCACGTTTCTACTCTCCCTCTCGTCGGCGCAAGTCGCCGCTAAGCGCAAAGCGATCCTCGCCGCGCGCCACAATCTCGCGTGGTGTGGCACGGGCGGCGCCTTCGAGCAGCTCGTCGTTGCCCTCGAGGAGCGGAAGCGGGGGCTACCGCGCCGTTCGAAGGAGGAGGCGCTGCCTACCTCGCCGGCGAGCTTCTGGATCGAGCAGCCCGGCGACGTGGACGCGCGTGTCCGCGAGACCGAGCACTGCACTCCTTCAGCGTCCTGGGCACCCAGACCCGGCCGAGCCGCAACGAACCAGAGGACGCACGACGTGGTCACCATCATCCCGAGGCCGACGTGCGTGTTGCGCGCCGCGCTGCAAAGCCTCGAGACGCGGCTGCAACCTCGCAAAGTGCACCTGATACTCGACTCGTGCGACGGCGTGGAGCTTGCCTTAGCTGACTTCCGTGTGCGCTGCGTTGAGCTCGATGCAGCGGTCCCGATTTTCCCGGTTGAGGCGATGACGGTGCCTCCCGCCCGGAGGTATTGGTATCGGCAGCAGCTCGCAAAGCTGGCGATGGCGTCGCACGAGGAAGTCTCGGAGACCTTCTACATGTGGGACGGCGACACCATTGCGCTGCTTGACGTGATGCCGACGCAGATGCCAGATGGGCGCTTCCCGCTCCTGTGGGGCGCTCCGATGGACTCGCCCGCGCACTTTGTCCAAACGACCGGCGGCGATTACAGCTTGCCGCCGGGCTACCGCGAGTCGACACAAGCTTTGATAGGCGTCGCGCCGACACCCAATGTCTCGTACGTTACCCAGTGGCAGATATGGCACAAGCCGTTCGTCCTCGAGATGCTGGGCGAGATTGAGCAGCGCACACCCGAGGGGGTGCGATGGCCCGAGGCGGTGCTCGCTGCCGCCTCGGACCACATGCAGCAGGGCTTCTCGGAGTACACGCTCTACGGCACCTGGCTGCTCGCGCGCCATCCACAGCAGGTCCAGCTCGTCTCGTCGCACGACGTTTCGTGGCTGCGCGACCCGCCCTCCGGCCTGCTCGACAAAGCCGGCGAGTGTTGCCCGTCGAGCGAGAGCCTCTGCCAGGTCGCCCTTGGCGGCTTCCACTTCGTCTCGTGGGAGTGCTCACACGCGTCCGAGCTCCGCCGCCCGACCGCTGCTGCTGCGCGTAAGCTTGAAGAGGAGGGGCATGCCCGCCGACTCGCTCACTCGCCTGGCCCGGCGCCTCCTCCTTTTCCTCCTCGCCCGGCGCCTCCTCCTTTTCCTCCTCGCCCGGCGCCTCCTCCTTTTCCTCCTCCTCCTCCTCCTCCTCATCCTCCTCCTCCTCCTCCTCCGCCCCCACCGCCCCCTTCCGTCTCGGCCAAGGCCTTCGTGGAGGTGGAGCAGCTCTGCGGTCCGCTCAACGACGTGCCTGAGGGCGCGACGCTCCAGGCCATCACCATCGAGATACCACCATCGAGTAGTCTCGCTGCGCAGCACATCGGGGACGTGGCGGCGAGGGCGCTTTGGGAAGGGATTAGCGTCGCCGTGAGCATCGTTGGCGCGATCTAGATATCATTCGCATATGGTCCTGTGTGGGTTCGCCCCTCCCTGGGGGTAGGGGGTCCCCTACCCACAGGGGGTCGACAGCCGCACATCCAGGACGCTCTCACGGACGGTGAGATGGCGAGGCTCCGCCCTCGGTTCGTGTAGCCGTGTGACAGTGACGATCGTGTGTCAGCCGTGACAGGCGCGAGGGCCGTGTGTCCGCCGCTCGGCCGGTGGGGGATGTGCCCCACCCACGGGCGGAGGGGGTTGAGAGAGGAGGGCGACCCCAATCTCAGGGAGGAGCGGCCGGAGGGGATCACATTGGGGGTCACATTGGGGTCACATTGGGGGTCACATTGGGGGTCACATTGGGGGTCACATTAGGGATCACATTATTATTATTATTATTATTATTATTATTATTATTGGGGACACATTGGGGGTCACATTGGGGGTCACATTGGGTCGCCTGCTGTGTACAATTTGAGTGCCGTCCGAGCCAGTCTGCTGTAAAATTCTTGACTTCTAAAATTCTTTTTTACAGTGCCAGTGCGCGCCAGTCCCGTGCCTAAGAAAAGAAAGAATTTTACAACAAAAGGCGGTCGCACAGCACGATTCACGCGACAGGCGAGGCGCGCGGGCGACGGCTTCCTCAGTCAGAAGCCGTCGCCCCCACCACAGGAGCAGTGACACCACTCCCACTTCGAGGCCCACCCCACCCCACCCCGAGATCCCCACCCCACAACCTCGCCCCACCCCGAGCGAGCAACCCCGCCCCACCCCGATCCGCTGGGTTCCGGCTCCTAGCCAGATAGGGGGTCTGTTGCCTACGGTTAGACCCCATGCAATAGGTAGGTAGGTCCGGTTTTGACCGCCCCAGAGGGCCCCGCAATAGGTAGGTAGCTGGTGGTGGTGGGCGGGGTGGGGGGGTGGGGGTTAAAAAAACCCAAGAGAGGGGTTGGAGGGCGGGAGAATCCAAAAAAGCCGTCCAAAAAGCCACAAAAACCCAGCGAGCCTCCCGTTACGCGATTGCCGCGAAGCGCAGCATGATGCGTGGCCAGCTTGGGAGGCTGCCGCCGCTGTCAGAGGCGGCCGCCACTGCGAGGTCTCGAGGGCCGACCGGCCGGGCGAGCATCCGCGCTGCCGACGACGTGCTCGAGGCTGACCTTCAGAGCGACGAGATTCTCGCATGCTTTGAGGAGGCGCTCGGCGAACGGCAGCCAGAGATGGGAACGGATGCTGCAGCAGGGCGAGAGGCGAACGCCGAGAGTGCGGAGGCCGCACCGCGACTCGAGGCTGCAGCAGAGCAGCAGCGGGAACATTCCCTGCTTGCACCGACCGCGGGGCGCGGCGTTGAGCCGGAAAACCCAAGAGAGGGGTTGGAGGGCGGGAGAATAAACCCAAGAGGGGTGTGGGAGGGCGTGACCCCCCAAAAGCCGTAAAAAAGCCACAAAAACCCGGCGAGCCATCATGATGCGCGGCCAGCGTGGGAGGATGCCGCCGCTGTCAGAGGCAGTGCGCCGCTGCCAGCCAGGTCTCGAGGGCGGGCCGTGCTGCGGGCGAGCATCTCTGCTTCCGTTGACGAACTCGAGACTGGCCTTCTGAGCAACGATATTCTCGCGTGCTTTGAGGAGGCGCTCGGCGATCGGCTGCCAGAGATGGGCACGGATGCTGCATCCTGCATGCAGCCGGGCGAGATAGGCGAACGCCGAGAGTGCGGAGGCCGCGCGGCGAGGAGTGGAGGTTGCAGCAGAAACCCGAATACCGTGCACAAAAAAATGCGACGATCTAAGCAGTGGACGGGGGCAAGCCTTCAACGTCCGCCAAATCCCTAATCCGTGCTTTTCGGCGCTCTGGGGGGGCGCGGGGGCCCTAGAGGGTACCCATGCGGGGGGGAGATGAAACCCGAGCCGCTGGGAGGTTGAGGGGCTTCATCAAGCGCTTGATTGCAAACATCGTGGAAGCCCAGGGCCAACATCCTCGAAGGAGGCGCCAGCATGTCGAGCCTCGCGCCTCAGCACGGCCGCGTCGCCCTCTCGGAGGCCTCGACGACCCTCGCCACCCCCTCCGACCTGACAAACGGCGGCGGCCACGCTCGCCCCTTGGACGCCGGTGGCGAAGCGGCGAAAAGCGAGCCGAAAACAGAGGCAGGGGCAGTGGAGGCCACACCAAAGGCAGAGACGGCTCGCGCCGTTGTCACGGCGCCGTACCCCGTCTCGGAGACCGCCGTGCCCCCCCCTCCCGCCGACGGCGACAAGAAGAGCTCGGCGGCGGTTGTGCAAACGGCCGCGGCGGCCTCGTTTGCGGCTGTGGCGGCTGTGCCGGAAAAAGCCGCGAGTGGAGCGGGTACGCCCAGCCACGCCGGCGACAACGCACTCGCCAACGCGCTCGCCGCCTACCAGCGCTGCATGGCCGGGCTGGCAGGCTCGCCTGGCGCTCCCTCCGGCTCCTCTGGCGACGCCTCGCTGCTCGGCCTACTCGGCCAGCACGGCCAGCAAGCCAGCCAGCCCACCAGCATCGCGGGGCCCAGCGGCGCCGCCGGGTCGAGCAGCTCCGGACGGCCGGAGGAGAACCCCAAGCCGTCCGAGGTGTCAGTCTGGCAGCTCTTTTCGGCCCAGGCGCCTCCGCCACACCTCGTTCGCCAGATGCCCTCGTTCCGGACTCAGCGCCGGCTCGTACCCCACACGCCGGCAGACCCACTGCCGCGGCCCCGACCACTGACGGTGCCCGCAGGCGCGCCGGATCGAGGTGCAGCTGGCGCAGCAGCTCCGCGACCGCAAGGCTCCCGCTCGTCCCTCTCGCCCAGCCCTCCTCTTGCCTCTCACATCCCGTTCCCGTTCCCCGCCCCCCTCCTTCCCTTTGCCCCCCCCCCCCCCTCCCACGCCCCCTTCCCTCCCTGCTCTCGCCCCTGCTCTCGCCCCTCCCCCTCCCCTTTGCCTGCTGGCATGCCGCAGCAAGGCCCAAGCAGGCGACGGCCCACACTCGCCATCCTCACACCCACCCCGCGTCACAGGCGCTTGAGACGGCCCAGGCGCACTTGCTCATGGTGCAGCGCTCGACCGAGGTGCACAGCTCGCAGCTGCGCCAGCTCCTGCTCCGCAAGGAAGGTGCTCGCGCCGCCTGGGGCCGCCCACACACCCGCGTGCCGCTCCTCTTGCCCCCACGCCGTCCGCCCCGCGCCGTCCGCACGCTCGTAGGGCTGGAGGAGCGCGCCCGCGCGCTCTGCACGCAGAACGAGCTGCTCGAGGCGGACTGCGAGCGGAAGCAGCGCGCTTGCCAACTCCTCTCCTCCCAGGTGCGCGCACACTCCACCGTCGGTGCAATGCCGCGAGTCGGCCGGGCCGCCCGAGCCTCGCCCCAAGACGCTCTCCAGCCGCCGCCGGCTGTGGGCCACGCCGCGCTTCTCTGCCGCTCCCTGGCAGAGCTGTGGGCCACGCCGCGCTTCTCTGCCGCTCCCTGCTCTGCCGCCTCAACCCCCCCCCCCCCCCCCCGGGCGCAGCTCGCCGAGCTGCGCAAGAGCCTCGCGCGCGAAGGCGGCTCCCTCGACCTGGCCGGGGGCGGGACGGCGCCGACCCCCGTAGACGCGCAGACACGCTCTCCATCCCGCTCCCTCAGCGCCCCGTCCTCGCCGCGCCAGGCGCCGCACGAGGGGCCGCTCGAGGCGCTCGCCGCAGAGGCGGAGAAGGCGGCGGCGATGCAGTCGCACACAGCGATGCAGTCGCACACAGCTCTCTCGGACGTCGGCGGCGAGGCGGCGGGGCACCTGCACACCCTGCAGCGCCTGCCCGGCCCGGCACGTGCCGCCGCAGACAAGGACAAGGCCCACTCGGACAAGGCCCTCCCTTCTCCCACCTCTTCTCTCGCGCCTCCCTCGCCTTCTCGCACACCTCGGACACGTCTCCCCTCCCCTCCTCAACCCTGCAACCCTGCCGTCTCCTCCCTGCCCGCCCCTCGGCACACCCTCAGCTCACCGCCCCGCCTCTCCCCCCGCAGGACTCGGACAAGGACTCGTCTGCTGACGGTGCGCGGCCCGGGCGGCGCCTCTCCACCTGGCGCGCAGGCGCGCCCCTTCTCAGCGCGGTGTTGCGACGCCCCCCGCAGGCGGCGCTTCGGACGGCGCTGCTTCGCTTCAGTCGGACGGCACGTCGGGCCACTCGAGCGGCGGCGCCTCTGGCTTGTCCGGCTCAAACTCGACGGCGCGCCCACCCTGACCGCAGACCGCGCATCCGACCCCCCCCCCCCCCTCCGCTCCTCCCCTCCGTTCCTCCCGAGCCATCCGCTCCGCCCGCTCTCCGCCCGCTCTCCGCCCGCACCCTCTCCGCACCCTCCGCCTTTTCAGGAGAACACGCACCCGTCCGAGCAAGGCTCCTCCGCATGGGACTCCGAGAAGGAATGTGTGATTCGTTAATGAATGAATGAATTGATTCCGAGCAAGGCTCCTCCTCTTGGGACTCCGAGAACGCCGAGGGGGGCGGGAGCAACGGCGGATCCGGAGGATCCAACAACGGCTCATCGCACGGAGGGCGCGTCGCAGGGCGGCTGCACGGCGTCTGCTCACGCGTGCAGCCGTGAACAGGCTCGTCGCACGGCGGCTCTTCCAACGGTGGCTCGTCGCACGGCTCCTCGTCGCACGGCTCCTCCAACGGCGCCTCGTCAAACGGCAAGAGATCCGCCACGTGGCTCGCTCCTCGCTTGCGCTCCCGGTGGTGACCGGCGGGTGTCGCAACGTGCCATTAGGCTCGTCGCACGACACGGTCCTCTTCGCCCGCACGCCGAGCTGCGGCGCCGCGCGGCAGTCGCCTCCGGAGGAGTCGTCCTCGAATGGTGAAGAGACGCGGAGCTGCACACGCTCACACGCACGCTCGCTCACGCACACGCACACGCACATGCGCACGGAGCAGCGCACGCAGTGGCGCACGCACGCATGCGCGCGCCCACCCCGGTGCACCCACCCCGGCTCTGTGCTCTCACCCACCCCGGTGCACCCACCCCGGCTCTGTGCTCTGTGCACCCACCCCGGTGCACCCACCCCGGCTCTGTGCTCTGCACCCACCCCGGTGCACCCACCCCGGCTCTGTGCTCTCACCCACCCCTGTGCTCTCACCCCCCCCGGTACTCTCTTAGGTGGCGAGCCAAACGGTCGCTCGCCCGGCGACTCGAACGGCTCGGCAGGCAGCGAGGAGATGACCTCCGCGGCCGCGTGCGCGCCGCGCAAGTCCTCCTCGCGCAAGCGGAGCGAGCCGACGGCCGCGAGCGCGTCGTCGCGGGCGGAGGCTCCGCCTGCGACGCGCGTGCGGGTGGACGGCGGCGTGGCGCCCTTCTTCCCGGGGGTCGGGGCCGAGGGGGCGCCGCAGCTGCCGCACTCGTGGCAGCCCGCGCCGATGGTCCCGCACGCCGCCGGCCTCCACGCGGCGGGCCCGCTGCTGCAGCAGGGGCCGTTGCCGCTGCAGCAGGGGCCGCTGCCGCTGTCGATCCTGCCTCGGAGTTTGCCACAGGCTCCCCCCCCCCCCCCTCCTCGAGCCGCCCTCCCGCCGCCACGCCGCATCACGCACCGCACGCGCACGCACGCGCGTCGCCAGCTGTGACTCCTCCCTCCCGCGCCGTTTGCAGGGCGTCCTCACCTTTCCGTGGCAGGGCGTCGTCCCCGCGCTTTGCCGGCCGCAGGTCCCGGTGCCCGCGGCGCGACCGGAGCCGCCCGCCGCCAGCGGGGCGGTGGAGGCACCAGCCGCCGCCACCCGGCCGAGCTGACAGCGGGTCGTGAGCGCATGAGGGGGGAGCCGAGGGGGGCTCCGACAGGGTGGAGGGGTGGGGTTTGGGGGGGGCGGGGGGGATTCGACGCGCTGCACCACGACGGCGGCAGGTTTGCTTGTTCCGACATGGCCGTGGCGATGGCGGTGGGGGGCGGAGGCGGGAGGGAGGCGGGAGGGAGGGGCGTGGGGAGGGAGAGCTCCGCGTGCTGGACCGTGCATGTGGCTAGATGCCACCCGCCCAACAAGCTTGCGCTTATTAGGGGCGGGTGAGGTGTGCTCGTAGGGGACACAGAGAGTCGGTGTCGGAGAGAGACAATACATGATACGTGATTGTGTCCACATTTTGACCACACAAAGCTCAAAGGTCAAGAGGAGCGAACTCAGCTCTCAGGGGCTGCCTGTGCCTCGTCTGTAAAGGCTAAAGCCGCGGAGGGACGCGGCGAGGAGGGCGAGGGCGGCACTAAAGCGAGACCCGCTGTGTCCGATCGCGCGGAAAGCCGCGCAGCAATGGACCGAGGAAGATGAGAACCCGCCTAGAGCGACGATGGCGCACTTGCTTAGCGGCGCCTGCCTGGGGAATAGGGACTTAGGGAGCAGGCCAGATGGTTCCTCAGAGTAGCGCGAGCGCAGACGGGGACGGCGATCAGCAAAGTAGCCCAGGCGGCACCCGACTCCAAGGATACGCTGAAGACGCTGAGGATAGCGCATGTCGCTGCGCTGAAGGGCTCACGCTATAGGGTGCTGGATGAGGACGGGTACGATGCACTAGCCCCAGCCGTCGGGGGGGTGTTGGGTCAGTGTTGCCGGCGCTGGTAGATGATCTCTCTCGGAGAAGAGCCGGAGGGACCTTGGCGCCGGGGTCACGAGGAACTTGCAAATCGTGGCCGAGGCGGCGACGGGCGCGGTGCAGAGGTGGATCCAGCTCAATGATGAGGCTACGCGGCGCGCATAATGAAGAGAGACGAACACATCGGAGTGGCTGATGAAGCTCTTCACTGGGTGGAATGAGGCTCGGCCGGCCTTGAGGGAGTCGCGGAGGAGGAGGGATAACGCAGGCAACGCAGGGACGGGCCAACAGCCAGTGGGACGAACGAGGGCCGCGACGGCGGCTCAAGCGGGAGGGAGCGGAGACGGTGGGCAGCGAGCGAAGTGGGTGAGACTGATGATGCTCTTTCGACTTAGGGAGCGGTTCAGCTGCTGGGAGGGCTTCAGGCTGGTGCTCACGCGAAAAGGAATCGACGCGATGTGCAAAGCATACTCCATACAAGAAGGGGAGAAGGAAGAGGAGAGACGCCAGTGATGACGAAGCAGAAACTAGTGCAGACGAGAGCAGGGCAGAGCCGGGGACTGGGGAGCCGGAGCAGACGGCATCGGCCGCCGAGGGAACGTTGGGAAGAGGCACGAGGAGGGCGGCGACCTCGACCGATCCGACTATGGAGGACCCGTCGCCAGACGACGCAGGGCAGAAGACGGTGAGGCGGAGCAGACGCGCAGGGCGAGACGAGGGAGGGAGCAGGACTTTGCGGAGATCAGCAGGAGGATGTACGAAGAGATTAGGAGCAGCAGGGACCCGAGGGACCATGTGGAAGACGGCTAGTGCTAGTCCCCCATCGGGAGGACGACCCCGGCTAGGGATCCTAGTCGCCGACCACACCCACCGCAAAGAACCCTGCACACAGATCGCAAGGGCGGGGGCCTGTTCCTTTTTACCCATCTCACAGTAGAGAGGTGTCCGTTTTTATTCATTTATTTATTTGACCATTGTTGTGGCATCCGTGTGTGTGACACGAGACACACCGTTTGCGCTGATCTCTCTCTTTCGTGTGAGACCACATATGGGGGGCGCGTGTTGAAAGGTAAAACCACGCTCTCTACCCACAGAGCGATTGGTTCACATCGCGGCCCCGAGGTCAGATTCTTCTACTCCGTTGATCACAACACTTGTCTACTCGCTGGAGCCGAGCAGGAGGGCCCAGCGCACGTGACAACCCCTGTCAACTCAAGTAACTCAGGGTCCACACCCCGTACGAGGTACGTCGAGAACACACTGTATACTAGGCTGTACAACAGCAGGGGCCGACACTACTAGAGTACCCGTGCTAGTGGCTGGAGCCGACGTGCACGCTAGACCGTACTCGCACCCAGAGCTGCGGCGCCTCTTGCGGCTACGCGGTCTCGGTGGACCCTCGTGGTCCGACGGCGCAGGCGAAGCAGCTGACGACAAAACAGCAGCTCTGGCAGAGCGAGCACAGCGCGCAACAGTTGCCCGGCGCAGAGTAGCCGTCAATGGCACCGACGCGCTCTGCGCCGGCTCCGAGCAGGGACTCTGCCACCTCTGCCGGCGAGTAGGCGGAGGCCTCAAGCTTGGGCAGCCGCCCTGCGGCTTGGTACATCTCGGCGGCGAGCTCGGAGCAAAAGTATGAGTCGTTTGTCGCGCAGCACCAGCTGGAGAGGCCGCAGCCGAGGCACGAATTGATAAGCTGCCACGAGTTGGTCTCGAAGGCTTTGGCGTAGTGAATCGCCACCAACGCACGCATCGCTTCGAGCTGGGCCTCGTCGAAAGGTGGCGCCGGCCGCACCACCTCGCAGCCGCCACCGCTGTAGATGTTGGCGTGCGCGGAGAGGAACTTGTCGAGCGGGACGGCGCGCACGCCGCCGGCGGAAAGCTCAAACTTGGCGCGGAACGCGCTCATGCCCGGCGGAACGTAAAAGTCGGTGCCCTCTGGAGCGTCCGGGTACGAGTGAACGAACCACAACCGGCCGTCGGGCCCGGGCAGCCGCAGCATCACGCCGCAGTGAGACACGCCGCGAGAGAAGCAGCCAATCAGCCTCCCTTCGAGGTTCGTGGACGCAAGTAGTACGAAGTCGCCCTCTCTGAGCGAGGCCATGGCGATTGCCATTACACCTCGATTGACACAAACTATGAAAGCGAAGAACCGGCGCAGCCAGAGTGCTGGCGCGGTCGCAGAGCCTGGCGCGGCCACAGAGCTGGCACGGCGCCGGAAGAGCAGCGAGAGAGCTGCAGAATCACCACGCGGCCTTGAGCTCAGTACACGCGCGCGCGAGACGTTTGTTTTTGCGTTTCTGTGCATAGCTCATAAGACTTGAATCGGCCGAGGCTCCATCGCCCCGCGAGGAGAGCCCGCGTCGATGAGTTCGACGCCTTTCGGGCCGCCTTCCAGAAAGACCAGATCACCCGAATGCCACGTTCGGATCGCTCCTCGGGAGGATGGAAAAAGAAAACCCGGAGCACCGTCGATCGACCAGCCGCCCCCTCCACGGTACAATTGTATGCGGCGGCGCGAGTCGTTCCTGCGTTCTCTCACGGCGCGCGAGCTCGGTCCGTGCCGGCCGCGAACACCCGCGGTTGACGCGTCCGCGCTCTCGCTCCGCGCCTCGACCGTCGCCCTCTCGAGCCACCTGGAGCTGACGCCACGCGGCGACGCGGTCACGACGCTCTCGCTCGAGGCCATCGACGAGCGGTACCTGCTCGCGGGCTGCGCCGACGCGTCGGTCGCGCTGTACGACGTGGCAGACACGCCGAGCGCACCGCCCCGCGGCCCTCCGCAGCCGCGCCGTCCCGTCGTGCAGGCCACGCGGCGGTCTTGCCGGTCGGGCCACACGGGCGCCGTCGCGTGCGTGCAGTGGTTTCCGCACGACACGGGCGCCTTCGTCTCGGGCGGCTACGACGCGCTCGTCAAGCTGTGGGACACAAACACCATGAGCCCCGCCTGTGACTTTGAGTCGGCGGGCCGCGTCCACTGCGTCTGCATGTCCGAGGTGGCGTCGCGGCACAACCTGATCGCCGCGTGCGCCGACGGCGACGACAGGGAGGTCGTCCTGTACGACCCGAACGTCGGCCACGCCGCCCACCGCCTCTGCGGCCACCGCGGTGTTCCGTGGGCGCTCGCCTGGTCGCCGCGGGACGAGTGCCTGCTTTCTGGGCGGCTGGCGACGTTCGGCAGGAGAGCGGCGCATGCTCACGGCTGGGTGGTTCGCGAACAGGCACCACCTCGTCTCGGGCGGCTCCGACGGCTCTCTCCGCCTCTGGGACATCCGCAAGAACATCCGCGGCTGCCTCCGCTCCTTCGACGTAAAGCCACACCGCCACACCGCCCTGCGCTGACCATGCATCCGACCACATCTTGACCCAATTCACGGTGGGAACAGGTCCACCACACATTTGCGCGCGCCGGCCCTCCGCGGAGTGCGGCTGGCGCGGGCGGCGGTCGGCCAGACGCGACCGGAGACGCGCCCTCGCTCGCCGCGGCCGCGCGCCGGCTCGCGGAGCCAAAGGCGCACCTCGGCGGCATCACGTCGGTCGCCTTCTCGGCCGACGGGAGCGTGCTGCTCTCGTCTGGCCGCGACCAGCGGCTGAGGCTGTGGAGCGCCGCGTCGGGCGCGCAGCCACGCACCCCAGCCACGCACCCCCCCCGGGGAGCCCGCCGACCAAAGGCGCCCTCCCCGAGCCCGCTTCGGGGGCGTCGCCTGCGCAGGTGAGAATCTGCTCGTGCACTACGAGGGCGCGTACAGCAGCGCCAAGCGAGGCGCGCGCACCCCCGAGAGACGGCCTCCGCGCGCCCTGCCCCGTGCCCTGCCCTGCTTGTGTGTGTGTGTGTGGGGGGGGGGGCGGGGCAGGTCAGGGGCGGCGGGGGAATGTGGGGCGCGGCTAACGTCCGGCCGCGGCGCACAGGGCACAAGCAGATCGCGCTCTCGACCCGGCTTGGCCACGCGGGCACCCGCGCGTCTAGATGCGGCGGGGGAAAAGAATTCTAGCTGGGGCACATGGCACTTGCGGGCACAGGGCACAAGCCACTCGCTCTGCCACTTGCGCTCTGAGCCACGCGGGCACGGGGCACCAGCAGATGCAGCGCCTCTCGCCACTTGCGTCACCGCCCCGGCGAGCACTCCAAAGACGCGCGCTCGGCAGTGTCCGGCGGAGCAGCCGCGCCCGACAGAACTGCACTCGCATTGCGCGCGCTCCTTGTCACCCAAGGCTCGCGCGTCTACTTCCCGACCGCGGACGCCGTGCGCGTGTACGACTTGCACTCGGGCGCGCTGCTCCAGACGCTAAAGGGCCACTTTGGAGAGGCTCTCTGCGCCGCCGCCGCCGCGAGCGACCACAAGGTCTTCACGGGCGGGGACGACTGCAGCAGCCGCGCCTAGATGCGGGACACGGATCGCGGCCATCGCGACCAGCGCTCGAGGCGACGCGCGGTTCGGCTGCGGCTGACACCGCACTATGTTGACCGCCCTTGTGAGCCGGGGCCGAGACGCTCTTCACACCTCACGTCCTCGCTGCCTCATGCCGCAGGCATCCTCGCGTGGACGCCGCCGCCTTGCGGGCTGACCGCGCCCGCGCCGCGAGAGGAGCCCGCGCCTGCGCCGCACGAGCAGCGGCGCGACGCATTTCTTGCCGGCGCGCCCGCCGGGCGGCTGCGCCAAGACGGCGGCATCGCCGCCTTCATCGAGGCGGGCGGGGCGGCTGCGCCTGCGACGGTCGCCACCAATGCAGAGGTCGAGGATGGCGACGCGTGGAGTGAGGACGAGGCCCCACCACACCCTGCGCCACCCCGCCCCCCGAAGCGGCGACGCCGTCGCTAGAAAATAAATAAATAAAAACGGACACCTCTACTGTGAGATGGGTAAAAAGGAACAGGTCCCCGCCCGTGCGATCTTTGTGCAGGGTTCTTTGTGGGTGTGGTCGGCGACTAGCCGGGGTCGTCCGACGTCGCTAGAAGTCGCCGCGAAAAACGTGCGCGAAAAAATACTGTTGTGGCACGACGTGATGCATGTGTGAAGACAAACAATGTCGCTCTCTCGGGAAGGTCAACGTGCGCACGGGGACGCCACTGCGCCCGCCTCACACGCTCCACACACGCACGTTGACGTTCCCGGAGCGAGTGACGGGTAATCGTGGCCGTGGCCAAGAAAGATCAAATAGTAAGGGGTCTATTTTGCCTACCGCGAAAAGCTCGACGGTTTTGGGCGTTTCAGAGCACGCTGAATCGATTGGCTTAGCTATAATTCTCGCCAGCCCCTTCCTTTCATAATTATTGACTCAAAACTCGATGATCGCGCGACTTTGGAGCCGTTATAGCTAAGCCAAAACGTTCCTCTCGAAAAATTGACTTAGGAAGCCGCAAACGGCAGCTTCTGAAAGCCTCACCGGCGCTTATTATTTGATCTTCTCCAAAACTAGGCCTGCGGCCAACATTTTCTAAAGGCCGCTGCGCGGCCAGCGCGATGCGCAACCAACCAGTCAGCGACCGACAGTCAGCAGCAGACTGTGACGATTGGCGGCCTCGCGCCCTCAGTCAACCTCCTCTACCAACTCCCCTGCCCAGCCCATATGCCTCATCCACGGTGGCGCAATCACTCGCGCAGGGAGAGAGAGAAAGTCGGCGATCTGCGCCATGCAGATGAGCTCAGCCTCGTCTGCGTCGAGGACGCCCATCGCAGGGCTGTCATAGCGCCATTGCATATGACGTGCTGCATGTTGTTCATTACTTCGCAGGTGCCAAAGTCGAGGATAATCTCACTCAGCGATGGCGAAGGCTGCACTCCCGGCCGGCGGTAGGAGGGATGAAGGCTAATGTACTTCGCAGTGTACGGTGCCTTCCGGCGCGAACAGTGCCCGGGACGAAAGAGGAGGCGACGTCTCCCTCGTCCATGGACGGTGTAGCCAGCTTGAGAGACGGGAACGAGCGGCGGTGAATCGCCGACAGCGGCGCCTTCGTTCCTTTCCAGTGAATCGCCGGCGGGTGCCCTGAGCGTTGTATCTGTCGGCCAGTTGCCGCACCGCCGGCAGCAGCTCCGCAGCAGCCCCCAGATGGCGCCGGTTAGGACAGGAGCGAAGCCGCGTGGACACGGCTGAGCGACGCCGTGCGTCTCGTTTGGATGCTGCAGGCATGCCGGGCAGCGCGCGTGCTCCATACCGCGTCGGGCGCCCGCCGAAATCTTCGACTTCTTTGGCGTAGGGGACCAAATCCCCTGAAAATTTTCTTCGCCTGCGGCGGGCAATTAATTTCGATACTTTCGCTTTCACAGCTCTTTCACACGACTTTATCCGTCACTCGCTCCCCGGCGGACCGGAGCCGTGCCCGGCGGCACCCGTGCGCCGTGGCGCCCCCAGAACGAATTAATACGAGGAGCCGGAGACGACGAGTTCATGCGCGCCTCTATGTCGTCTACCTCTGCCCCTGAGCTACCTACTCCCTGGCCCGCCCCATCCAGGATGCTGCAAACCGGGTCCGTCCTCGTCCTCCTCGGGCACGAACCGCATGTTGCACGCGCAGGCTGCGCTCGGGTCCTCCGGCCGCATGAGGACGCACCCTACCTCCTCGCCCTCCGTGAGTAGCAGCGGCCCAAAGCGGAACTCGGCCTCGTGTCCCGGCTGCGGCACGATTCGCACCGTGTCCGGGTCCAGCACTGCCCAGTCGGCGTTGGTGGTGTGAATGTGAGCCTCCGTTCGCCGGATCGCAGCCGTGCCGTGGCCCTCGAGCCGCAGCCAGCCGTAGCACTCAGAGAGCTCATTCCGCTGCTCGGCGACATAGGCGCCGTCCATGCCCATGAACGCGGGGATCTCCAGCGTCGGGCCGCTCGCGCTGTCCAGCCAGCTCGCGAGGGAGGCGAGCCAGGAGGAGAGGAGCGCGCCTCCCGGAACGAAGGAGAGCGCGGTGCCGACCATCGAGCCGGGCCCGTCTGGCATCGCCACCCCCTCCAGACGAACGGCGGCGGCCACCTCGCCTCTCTTGGACGCAGGTGCTTTGGTGCTTTCGGACGCCAGGTGGCGGTGTGGAGTGCGTCCCCGCCGTGCCCTATGAGATCGAGAATTTTACAACCGGACTCCCTAAGAAACCCCCCGCTGGTGTGAAGAGCAGTGGGTCGGTTGTGCGTTTATGTGAAGAGCAGCGATGCCGTAGTGAGTGAGTGGTCCCGGGCCCTGCGGGGAACTAAGTCGGTGCAAGTTAGTCTGTGAGTGAGTCTCGGCTACGGGACCGGCCCCAGCTTCGGCTGAGGGCTAACAAGCTGCCGAGCCCAAATCACTGTGAGAGTCGTGATTTCTTGTTGGTCTTCAAAAATCTCTCTCTCTCTCTCTCTGGACGAGGGCTAGTGGTGCGCCGTGGCGGGTCAAGTGGTGAAGTGCTCCCGGGACGCGGGAGTCGTGGTCGGAGGCCGGGACACTACGCGCACTAACTTAGTGTGCGGAAGTGAGTGCCTCCAGCCGGCCGCGAGGGGAGTGGTCCGGCGGGCCGCTCGTAGTGCCCTTCGCCGGCGGACGGAGGCGGGCTCGGCTACTACGCGCACTAAAGTGTGCGTCGAGCACGGTAACAGCTGTCCGAGCATGGTAGTTGTCAAACGCTGATGGGATAGCAGCAAAACTTCACAACTGATTTGGAACTACCTTTTGACCTGAACTGCTTTTGGGGACGCAGCTCCTGCAAGCGCACATTGATTGTCTTCCGGCAACAAAGACGACTTCACTGCTAGTATGTCTGGTATTTACTGGTTTTGGCGGACGCAGGAAGAATATGGTTCAAAGCTGGCTGCACATATTCTGAGCAGTCGTATGTTTCTACTCTTAAACCAGCCCTCAGATCAGGGAATGAATCACTCACCTTGTCGTGTTGCAGAACTACCCGTTGAAGCGCAAGTAAGAGTCCTCATGATGCGTGCATTCTACTCCACCCCGCCCGTGTTTCATCGTCTCGAGTACCGCAACACAACCCCGCGAAACCTCGGGATCAGTTGATCCTCATCGTACAACAAACTCGAAACAATGGCTCGAACAATTGCTCCTCGAGCAATGGCGGTCTGCTTCAATGCAGTTGCCGTCTCCGCGCTCAAGGAGCTGCATGTGGCTCGATGCGCAACTCTACCATCGCCCTGGATCACTCGCTGGTTCAAATGGACGCCGCCCAAGCTGCAACCCAAGCGGAAGGCTCTGAAGGATACCGCCTCGGCGACATACAAGCTTTGTCGTGAACACCAAAGAAATCAACCTTTCCGGGGAGCCTGGTTGACTGCTACTTCCACCAGACGGACGATCTTGCAAATTACAAAGTTCTGAACGACTGCATTAACGACAAGATTGAAGCTGGGTCAGGGACCCTCGAGTCCTTGCGTGAACAGGTTCAACACGTCGGTGGTCCAAGTAGACCGATGGACCCCACAACGACCGCCGTCATCCATTTGCGCTTGGGAGACGTGCTCGACGGGGACGCAGGTACCCGCGACCAGAAGCTTCTGCCCGAGTACCTGAAGCGTTGGACAGGGCACCGGCAAGAGGACTGGCCCTCCCCTTACGTTTTACCACTGTTCTATCTGGAGCAGTTTGTCGACCAATGGAAGAGCAGCGGCATCAACACAGTCCTCCTCATAGGCTCATGTTGGCACAATGTGGGTGTGAGCGAACCGACTCAATCTAAAGCCTATGTGCGGGCCGTGACAATGCTGTTTGAAAAGCATAAATTCAGTGTCCACACCAAACTGCCCCCACGGCCGCAGGAAGGGACTACCATTGAACGCAGTGAAGAAGCTCGTGCTGCTGACGAAGACATCATCGACTTAATCTCGCATGAGTGGGCGTTCCTGTTAGTTGGAAACAGCGGCTTCGGAGGCATAGCCCAAAACCTCGCATCTCTTCGAGGGATCAAGTCGGCACGTTCCACATTCCAGTGGACGAACTATGAGGCCAAAGGCGAGGAGCCTCACGTCGAAGAGTATTATATCACGGGCCCGTGGCCTCATAACATGATCTGGTTCAATGGCAAAGAAAGAGCGACGGACGGTTTTGATGAATCCTCTGGATCACGTCAATCCGAGGAACCTCTTTCCTCAAGCGAAGTGGCCACGTACCTCAAACAGCGATCGATGCATTCCCCTGACAAACTCTCCGACGTGGTCAATGCGATAATTACACCTTCCACAGTCTCAGATAAGCTTAGTCCGACGCATTCGACGGATGCAAGCCGTATTTGGGCATCCGATCCGATCCGGTCCGATCCGATTAGCATCCGGAAGCAGCCGACCCGACCCGATCCGAACCCCACCCGCGCCGCACCCCACCGCTAAAAATCCGCTATACTAGGAACCTGACTATCAAAACCCAATCGTAGCACGGTTTGGTCTGCCGGCAAGTTCGGCAAACCCTCATGTACTCC